GCTGGCATTATGATAGTACTGTGTGTACAGTACTGTATTTTAAGCCCACCATTTGCAATTGATTACATGGACCATCTGTAACCGTCTGTGAATCATGTTCGAGTTACCCTACTGGCATTTACTGAACATTTGTCATGTAGCAAGATTTTTAGTGTAGAAAAGTCGACACAAATAGTTTTTTAGTTTCACTAAATCAACTTTAGACACTAGGCTATGGGTACAAGCTATTGATGGATTGTAATAGCATAGTCTTCAGAATAATGATTTTTGATTAGCGAATACTGCTTTACCTCAAGCCCCCTGCAAGGTTAGACAAAAAAGTATTTTGTGACCAGTGAGGTGACTTCGCGCCACCGTTTGTTGCTTATGGAATTATCCCGTAGGTGGTTTCAAAAGTGGTGAGGAAAGAGGAGTGGAAGACACAGCTGAAAATGTAGAGGGAGCAGCGGGTCGTGTTCAATCGGTGGATGGGGACAGCTCCAGGAGAAAGATGAGTAATCTTTGTCAAAGCTAGGGTTCGCAAGGAGGGGAGGAGACTCGGTTGCCCCTCTCCCTGGACGCACCCTCGCCACCTGTCAGACAGGAGACTCTGGGGATGGGGCGAGATGGGGAAAGAGAGCGCCTGGAGCTCTGGACCGCGGGAGGAATCCTGAGAGGCCAGCAGGTCCCTGGCGACTGGTCGCGGTGGGAGGGGGCAGGAGGGCGCACTAGATCCCAACACGTGGTCTCCGGAGCTCGGCTGTGAAATCAGAAGTGGGGGTGCTCCTGTGTGCTCCTCCCCAGAGCCTCTCAGCTCCGCCTCTCAGACACATGACCGCGACCGGCTGGTCTCTGTGCTCCTGCAGCGTACCTCGCTCTGTTTCTTCCCTCCCGCTGCCGTGCCCTTCTTCTCCCCCGTTACTGTCCCCACCTCCCACCCCCTTCTTCCTCCCTGAAGCCCAATCGCGGCTCGAGCTGTGAAGTGCCCGCCCCTTCGCCCTTTCTTTCGCCTGCTCATTGGCTAAGGCCTCAAGGACGAGTCCCGAGGGCGGGTGGCAGCCATTGGTGCTATGAGCAATCGGAGTTCCCGGATGAGGGAACATTCTGCAGTATAAAGGGAGCGTGGAAGGCGGGAGACGGCGCAGTTTGAATCGCGGTGCGACGGAGTAGCTGGTGTGATCTTGCTGGGTGTTTGACTGGCCCTTTCTCTGCCTTGCTTGTTGGAGCTTCATCAGAATTCGAAATGGTAAACTTAGCAGAGGCACTCGACGACTTCTCGGGTTTTTGCCGGCTGGAAAAAAGCCCGTTACACACTGGGATGGGGGGGTGAATTGGCGGCGGTTGAGAACGCGCGGAGACAGGATTGGGAAGAGTAGGGGGGAGGTGTTTTGTCGGCGGCGAGCAGAGCAGCCTGTGATCTC